CGTGAGAGGAGGAGGAGGCGTAGCCCGTGCGCTGGGGCTGGGAGGAGGAGGCGGGGTGAAGACGGGCTCGCATCCGCTGGTGGTCCTTGGCGGCCTCGTAAGCCTGTGGGGCCGATGTGAACTTGTACCGCCATAGCTCGGACCGGTACTCGAGCGGAAGGCTGGCCAAGAAACGATCGATAAGGGCAGCCTCGGGGAGGAACGCCACGTCGCAAACGAGGCAGGCGTCTTGAAAGACCTGGATGTGGCCATCCAGGCCGGCAGCGCCACCAGAGCCGGACCAGCGTGTAGTGACGACACGCTCGAAGGCGTCAGTCACGTTGTATCGGGTTCCGAAGCGATCCTCGAGGAACGCCTGGATATCCAGGAAGGTTGGAATGCGACCCTCACGAAGGGAGTAGGCATAGAAATCCTCCCAAGCCTCGAAAGGACCGCCACGCAGGCGCGTGGAGAGGTGACCCACCCACGTATCGAATGTGGCGCCCATGAGCTGGAGTGTGCGGGTGGCAGACTGCAGCCACCGAGACACGCGTATGCCTGTACCGTCATACAAGGCAATGTCCGACAAACGGATGAGTGGTGCGCCACCGTTTTGGCGGCGAGGGGATCGAGGAGCGGAGGTCTGTGCCACGGCTGAGTAAGTCATCGCAGGCCCTGGAGAAAGGGGTGGAACTGACTGTGCGCCTGGGCGCATGGGGGAGCGGCGGTGGCAACAGCGGCAGGCTGCGAGGGTGTTGCGGTAGAAGAGGTCGCAACAACCGCGGGAGTAGGAAGAAGGTAGGAAGGAGTTGTATAGGGTGCAGGGTGCGGAAAGCGAGCCTGCATGGGAGGAGGGGTAGAGGAGGTAGGGGGTGCGCCCGAAGACGCGGCCACCTGTGAGGGCGGGGGTGGCTGAAGGCGTAAGAGGGCGAGGTCAGCCCGGAGCTGGGCAATCTCGTCCGCGAGACCTCAAACATAGGTCGATCGAGGAGTGGCAGGAGGAAGAGTGGAGGGGGTGGACGCACAAGCGGCGCGGGGCATCCCAGAGGGGGGAGAGCCGGGTGGCGCTGCGGTGGTGCGAAGGGGAGGGAGAAGCGGGGCAGCCGGAAAAGCTGAGACCATGGTAGCGGGTTGTTGTACCATGGCCGTAGTGACCGAGATCTTGGTGGGTGCGCAGAAATATAGTTTGTATACATTCATTTTTAGGGTGCGTAATGTTCGGGGGAAGACGGTAGTTGTCCTAATATCCCGGCACCCAAATTGTGTTTCGAAAACCTCAGTTCTTACTTCTTGTGCCTCATCCAGGTTCCTGTATCTGTACTGAATGGAGTCCAGGTTCCTGTTACAGTACTGATTGGAGTGAAGTGTGCAAGAAATGCTGCCGCGTCTGTGTGGTGTGTGCCTGCGTGCTTGTAGCGTTGCGCGGTGGTGTGTGTTGAGTTGGACACCATAGCCAAGGTAGTCCAAGCGGAGTACCGTATCCCCACTAAAGTCTTCCCCCGAATACAACGTAGGGTCATAATACTAGCTGAATTTAGACTGAAAGATGCTAGGCCTCGGGGGGTGCCTGTCTTTGTACTCAACCCGTGGGGAGATCAGATGGCTTGTGACAGCTAGGGTCCGCCTTGATTTGCTCAAGGACAGTCTCCTACAGGGGACATCATTTGTGAGCTCTTCTTTTATTATCCTTATCAGATCCCAAGTCGACCCCTACAGAGGTGCGACCCAGACCTGTCTCTAGACCTAGACCTACACC